GTAGGCTTAACTAACCACTCTGCTGAAGAGGTGCGTTTGCAGTAAAGTGCATTTACAAACTTAGAAATTCCAAACACAGATACAGGAGTTGCCTTTTGTTTTTCTCCAAACTTAAGCAAGTATGGAGGTGCTGGGAGAACTGTACTTGGAGCTTGTTTCTGCTGTTGCTCAACTGAGAAAAGCAGATCGTCTAAGCAATCAAGGAGGAAAAATTAGGTAACACATTCCCTATGGAAGCTGGAATGGAAAAGTCCTCCTCAAGAGTAGGAGAAATCTGCTACTCATAGGAGTCAGAATCTACATCAGACTCATTGACTGGTTGCTGCTGAAAGGAAGCACCAGAATGAGCTTAGGAAAAAGTCTTATTAAACTCCTGAAAACCAAAGAAGGGACTCCAAATCCTTGAGAAGGAAAGGAGGGTGCAGTTTGTGCCTATTCAAAATAGTAGCAACCTACCTGTTGAGGCATGGGCCAAGTGGCAGATGGTGCCCAAAAGACACAGTACTTACATTCTGAGTCGCCACTGAAGCTCCCAGGTGGCATGATGCAGAGGGAGGATGGTAGCCCGAAGGCCCCTCCAAGGAGTTATATTCCATGGGCTTAGACCCAAAGCCTTGGCTAGCCATCACTCACACAGGTGGCGTGGCTGCCTTGAGCCTCCCCTCCCCTGAGGGGGGCAAAAGCATGGCAGGGATCGTTGCAGCGTCCACTGCCTGCTGGGGTAAATGGGGCAGGGAAAGCATGGGCAGTGAGAGCAAGCTGTCCTTCAAAAACAGAAACAGCTGAGAGGCGTGGCTGCAACCCAAAACAAAGTTATTAGCACCAACCCACAGTGGCATTTTGCTGCCACAAGCTCTACCAGTTCCTGGTTCTGTAAAGGGGTGGTAGGCTGTTTAAAAGTCTTCTTCCCTCCTGCTTTCTGAGCGAGGGGAACAGAAGAAAAAGAAGGTAAGTTACTGCCCATTGCCAAAGGCAAAAAAGCCTGCGCCTCAGAGGACATGGTACTTTTTTTTTATTTAGAGGGAGGGAGTGGGTTTGTCCTCCCACTAGCAAGAAACACAAAGGGGGTGGGAGTCACCCTGGAGCAACTTCCCCCCATAAGCCATACATTTCAAAGAAAATGCCATACTGGCCTGAATAGGATAAACAAAGGTCCCAGAACACAAGTTGGAATTGCTGTCTGTTAGAGTAGTCAAACTGGAGTCTTTGAGTCAAACCAATAGTTGTTTTAGGAAAGAACACCGAGTTGTTGCTGCTTTCGCGGACAAAAGGAATTAAGGCTCCAAGCCCCGCTGCCTGGCTTTATTAGGAGTAGATGGGTGGGGCTGGAGTCCCTAATTAGGAAAAGCTTTCAAGAAAGATCCGAGTCAGCTGCGTGGACGCAGGGAAATACCACAGGTGTGGATTTCACAGTACCACGCAGAAGAAATATTGCTTTAATTCATACTTTATGGGGTGGGGAGTCGATTTTTTGATAATATATCCATTCCCTCTAACGACATAGAGATTATCAACATGAAACAAACTGTGGCATTACTTTTCATCTGCCTTCATGTCCTTGAAGATCTGACATATGGATCTCTTGGGTCCTATTCTCTCCTCGCTCCTCTCTAGAATGGTCACTTATGCTTCAACTGGAAGATCTTTCCTAAAAGGCAGGAATGATTGCCCAGTTCAGGCAGCCATACTTTGTGGCTATAGACACAACCAGCTCTGTCTCTAAAATGCCTTGTTATGACATCCTGTTTCATTATGCTGAATGCTGGCAGCTGTACAGATTCTAAGTGAGAAATATCCTTTTTTGAGTGGTGGAGAAGGGGCATTGTTGCAATGCATCGGAGTGAATCGAACAGATGCCCCAAACCAGTAGGCATGTCCTCTTATGATCCTGTAACCTGATCCATAACGACTTCCATAAGGCAATGGCTTGAGTGTTTAAGTTCTATTTTAAAAATAACCCTGGGATGAATTTGTCCGAGGTTGCCTGAAGGGAAGAAAACATTCCATTTTTAGCCAAGGTGCATATTCTCCTAATAAGAAAAGCAAAACTGAAGAGGTTGCATAACGTTTGTTCTCCACAGTACAGAAATACAGAAAGATGGTTGCCTGGCAACAGGCAGGAAATGCGTTAGCAAGCGAGACAGCTTAAGATAAGAGCAGCCTCTTTAAGGTGGGAGCAAGGAGTTAACTGGCCACACAATTCGTTCCTTATGCCTCAGATATGGAACTTCTTGCATTCTTCTCATAGCTTTAAAGTGTGCTTTGAAGAGGGGATGAGTGCTGCAAATCATAATTACAGTTTTTGCAACAATGAAATACTTCAATTGATCTTGCAGAAACGATTGTTCATGAGTCCTACAATTTGGGGTATTCCATAGAGTTGCATTTAACAGTTTGATGGACATTTTCTTTACATTTCACTGGGATTATTCATATATACTGTAGTTTCCCAGGCATGTGTAGTATGCATACAAAGTAGATGATCTACTCCGGGAACTAGGCAGGGGGAGGGGGAATGTTTCCCTGTTGGCTCTGCTGGACCTCTCAGTGGCCTTCGATACCATTGATCATGGAATCCTTCTGGGACACCTCGCAGGCATGGGACTTGGAGGTACTGTTTTGCAGTGACTCCAGTCCTTCCTGAAGGGACGGTCCCAAAAGGTATTATTGGGAGACACCTGTTCGACCCCACAACTTTTGTCTTGTGGAATCCCACAGGGTTCATGTTGTTTAGTATCTACATGAAGCTGCTGGGTACCCACAGGTTGAGAACCACTGCCTTAGTCTGTGAGAGAAGGCCTCACAGTGTGAAGTAAGCCTCAGTATGAGAAGGCCTCATGTGTGAAACTCCAGTGTGAAGGTTGAACTTAATTTGTGTCATGGAAACCTTGTTCTTGTAAATAGTGCAACCATATTATTTTGCTATAAAGAAAAGCCTCCTAAGGAAAACGATGTTCTGGGTGTTTTTGTTATTATTATCCCTTTGGGCTACTGATGCTGGGTCACGCTGCTAGCTACTAATAAGTTACTCTGCTGCACATTTATGAGGAAGGTCTTTTGTTAATAAGCTCACTCACCCAACAAAAATCACTATTTTTGTTTACTTGAGAGAACACATCTCTAGGAATGTCTAGGTCATTCTTGGCCATAGAGTCATGCTGGAGGACCCAAATTCCTTTGGAGAATATATTTATCAAATCTGTGAATAATCAAATCTACAAAAGTTAAATCTCCAAATGTGGAAAGCCAAGTGTTGCAAAAACTGATTTGTTACGAATACACTCCATAGTAAGGACAATGGTAATGATCAAAATAATTATATATCCTGCTTTTCTTCCAATTAAGTCAAACCAACATACTTGGCCCACTTTATCAGGAGAGTTGCTATGGGCTGAGGCAAGAGGCGAAATGAGGACATTGCCTACCAAATAAGATCTCTGTCCTCCAATGAAGTTTTCCTTCAGGTCCCAAATTTCTAGCATTGTGGTAACTTACATTTTCAGAGGGGCAAGCAAACCAAGGAAACGTGAATACAGCCTATATAAGAGTTCTAGGCCTGTATGTGTGCATGGGGGGTTGTGGTGGTGCAGCAGGTTACTTATGAGCTGCAGAACTTGCTGACCGAAAGGTCAGCGGTTTGAATCCACGGGACAGGGTGAGCTCCCACGGGACAGGGTGAGCTCGAGCTTTTGCCAAGATAGCAGTTCGAAAACATACAAATGTGAGTAGATCAATAGATCTGTGGGAAGGTAACGGTGCTACATCCAGTCATGCCAGCCACATGATCTACAGTGTCTATGGTGTCTATGGACAACTTCAGCTCTCCAGACTCGGCTAGACTTAATGTCAAGGGGAATCCTTTGCCTTTTACTTTTTTATGTGTGCGTGAGACAGACAATGAGATTTTCTTCAACAAATACTATATACAGCATATAAATGGACAGAATGCTAGTACTGCTTTTTATATTATTTAGTTACTTTGCTTCAGCAAAAAAGGCAATTGTCAACTTGACCTGCATTAATAGCATAACTTCCATAAAAATCAAAGTATTAGTTGCTCCTTGTTCTGGGTTGGTTGCGGCTCCTCTGAAGTAATAGGTTTGCTCTAGACATCTTATTTTTAAAAGGATATGAACATGTTATAGTGAGTTGAGAGAAGGCCAGCAATTCTCTTCTAAAATCCATCATAGTAAGTGTCATATTCTTGATCTAGTTTTCTATAGCCAGTTATTGCACCTACTCAATGTTTAAAAATTCGCCAAAGCTGAGAGGCCACCTCACACAATTAATTTTTTTTAATTTAGCACTCATTTTTCTCACATTGAGGGAGGCCTCCACTTGGGGACAAGCGACAGATGGCTACAACTGGAGAGATCAACTGGTGGCCTCGCACCTGGCATATCTAATATGTGTAAAAGTGATTTTAAAATGCTGTAGAAATACAACATAAAACCAAAAAAGGGTAAGGAGGTATTTGAAACAACTGTGGTTGAGAAGAATTCCTATTTAAAAGATCATTGGTAATTTTAGAAGTTCAGGAAAAGTTTTTTTTTGTAGTTGTTGTTTACACATTTTCAGAATCCTTGAATGAGCTTGGCCTCTGAATAGCATTCAGCACAGACAGGGAGATTTACAGCAGGCCAAGCCAACCGCACAAATCGGTTCTTTGCCTCCAAGAGAGCCAGAAATAGACCGGAGGATTGCATCCAGTGTTGCTCCTTATCTATACAGTCTAGCCTTACCCATCAGTGGCTTTGTAATTGAGAGTCTGGCACAAGTCAAAGAAAGTCAGTATAGATGCATTTCCATTAACAAAGTAGACCTGGTCCTGAGCATTAACTATTTAACAAAAATATACCAAAGGTAGAAATAATATAGAAAGAATAGAGATGGGTTCACGCATCAACAAAAGGAAGAGCAGTTTAATGTTTCAGCAAATGTTCTACTCAAAAGTAATAATACACATATCTGAAATTTAACAGCCAGGTCAGATACTTTCTGGAAACTGTTTGAAGCCTTCTCACATAATGCATCCAGAAATTAGCTTTTATTTCCCTTTCATTAGCCTCTGTTTTTCTTATGACCTTCATTTCAGTTACATACTGGTAGTAGTTGGTGAAACAAACTCACCTGCTTTCCCCCATTCTCTCTGTTTTGTTGTTTACACAAGCTGAGAGATGAGTTTTGGAAGTAGCTACAGTTTGCTTGCCTGTTGTAGGCAAGCACATGCAGTAGGATCAGCTAGAGTAGAATTTATTTCCGACCTCAAGGTTTCCTGCATTGTTTACTGCAGACCTATTGGTCTAAACTTATAACCAAAGGCTGTGTGCCTTCAGCCCTCCCTCCCTAAACTCCAAATGCTGATTCTGCTTGAAAAAAAAAAAAAAACCTTCCAAGTAAACAGAAGACAAAGCAAGCAGACTGGAACTGGGCAGGCATTAAAACATTAAAAGATCATTGGTAATTTTAGAAGTTCAGGAAAAGGTTTGTTTTTGTAGTTGTTGTTTATAGATTCAGAATCCTTGAATGAGCTTGGCCTCTGAATAGCATTCAGCACAGACAGGGAGATTTACAGCATTTTCTCCCCCTCGATGGACTGTCACCTTGTCGTGGTGAGGGGGCTTGCGTGTTCCGATGAATCTGTAGGCACAACAACTGGAGTCGTGCACTCCCAGGAGTGGCCGCGGGGGAGGTTCCAGACCAAGCACAGTC